AAAAAAAAATGACATAGCTCTATTATATATATACTGACATGGAAGATTATATGTGATAAATTATTTAGAAAAATAATGGTGCAGAACACTATTCAGAGTGTGATCTCATTTTTGTAAAAACAAACAAACAGTATTTTATAAATACATTGCCCAAACATGAGATTTTAATAAATCCAGTACCTCTGTTTTAGTATGGTATGTATTGTGCTTAAAAACTTGGATCCTGAAACCAGCCTACCTAAGTTTGAATCCAGCTCTGCCATTTGCTAGCTGTGTGGCCTTGGGCAAGATACTTAACCTCTCTGTTCTTCAGTTTCTTTACCTATGCAATTAGGATATAATAGTACTTATCTCATCTAGTTGTTATGAGGACTAAGGAAATGGTGTATTCAAAGGCACAGAATAGTATCTAGCATTTAGTGCTTGTTCAAGTAATATTAGCTATTGTTAATGATAATTAACTTGCTTTTCTTTTTTATTCACACTATTCAATGTAAATTTCCACAGAAATATGTCTGCAGACAAAACTTCACTTTTGGGCAAGAAATATTGGGAGCAGAAAGAAAGGAGTACTGTGGTCTCAAGGGGCTAGAGCACGTATTAGGAAACACGGTCAGTTCTTGCTAATGTGGCCAGGTATTAAAATCTATAATACAATAGAATTGCTGAGCTAGGCTGCAGGCTGTCAGAGGTGTCTCATTAATAGTGAGTGTGGTGGAGATAGGTATAGTCAGCAAACATCCACCAGTCACCTGCCATCAGCCAGGTTATATGTCAGACACACATAGATTATCTGTGATCTTTCCTATCCATATGAACTAGAAATGAATGGTCTACATTTATTTTAACTTCTCTCCCAAGGTTCTTTTTCTCTTCCTTCTTTTCTCTTAGTGAAAGTAGGGAAAAAATAAAGTTTCTTGTTTACTTGGGCTCTTCTTAAAGAACAGACTTTATTATATGCACTTGACTGCCTTAGAGAGCCTTTTCTGCAAACAGTTCTTCACTGTCCAGCAGGGTTCTGGCAGCTGGACGACCCCTCAGCAGGAGCCGTGACTAGGTATGGAATTTGGGAACTATTTTTGGAGATAGGAAAATGCAGGGAATTTGGGGTCAATCGTTCACTCTTAACTACTAGAGAAATACATTGGAAACTTTTGAATTTGCACTTTTACTGAATTTTAATTATTAGACCAAGTCCTTGGTTAATAAGAAAATTAATTCAACAATACATCAAATGTATAAATGAAAGACCAGGAATTATTCTTATCTAAAGGGGCTCTGTCCTCTCAAGCACTGAGGAAAAAAAAAATGGCACATCCAAAGCCTGATTTTCATTCTTAGTTTTGTAGCCAACTAATTGAGCCCCAGGAAGGGTAAATCAGTTCTTTCAATTAGGAAGAAGTTCTTGCTTTGGATCATGTCCCTGGTCCTCCTTGTACCCTATACTGTTATTGTGTGAACAAAAGTCTTGATGGAATAGCCAAAGCCCAGTGAGACTGAGTGATCTGCCAAGCAGTCACCCATCCAGTCATCAGGCTGGTATCTTACAGTGCTTTCTTGTGAACTAGGATTCCACTTCAGCCCTCCTTCATGAAATGTTTCCTAGAATATATACTTTATAATCCAACTGTACAGAAGAAATTATTTAAAAAAAAAAAAAAGCAAGAAGGAAGAATTGATTGGTTAACCGTTGATTCTAACCTGATACTGTCCATTGGAAATTTTATGGACACTGGAAATCATAAAATGCTTTTACTCCAGACAATGGGTATATTATAGAACTAATGGTGATTTTCAGAGTTCCAGAATTTCTGCCAAGTATTCAGGGAAAATGCAAGGAGATAAACATTACTGTTTTTTGAAGCTTCGTTAAGTGGGAATTGTAGACCCAGGCCTCCTCATGAGTTACAGAGGAAAGTAGCAACTATGAATATGTTGCCTCAATATCCATTATGAGAGGATCAATACACCTATACTGTGGAACATTATGTAGGCATTAAAAATGAAATAGCTCTACTACATATGTGCTGACATGGAAGATTATTTGTGATAAATTGTTTAGAAAAATAATGATGCCAACCACTATTCATAGTGTGGTCTCATTTTTATAAAAACAAACAAAATCTACAAATAACATATGGTTGAAGGTATCTGCTTTGTTAAGATCTACAAGAACATATTTGAACTGATAACAATGGATTCCCGAAGGTATCAAGAGTAAATAAAGAAGATGGGAATGGTGATGGGGGAGGGGGAGGAAAAGAATGATTACTTTCTAATTTATTCACATCTGCATTGTTTGGAATTTTTTTCATAAGCATGCATTATATAAGATTTTATATAAAACATAAAAACATTTGTATCAGAAATTAATCTCTCTGTGTATCTGGTGGTGTGAAGCTTCTAGTCTACAAAGAAACATACTGTCATTCAGCAAATAGTACAAATGACAAATATCCCTCCACCTGAAAAAAACTCCTTAAAATTATAATATAAATTGTCTCACACTTGTAAACATCAGCTGTTACATGTCACAGATGGTAGGAAGAAAGAGAAATAAAATCCCAAACTGCTGCTATGGGATGGAAATCATTATATCTTGTCTGAATGGGCTGGTAGTAACAGTAGAAGGGAAATGGACACAGTTAAAAAGGATGCTGAAAGTATGCAAATATTTTCATAATAATGAGACGGATCTGCCGCTGTTCTATTGTGATACTTAACACCTTTGATACTGATTGCTTACACCTTCCGTATAAAGAGCTCCATCTCAACACAGAGGGGACTAATTTCCATGGAAATGAATCCATTAATTAACATATTGGTATTGAGAACTGAATGTGTGCACTGCCCTTCATACAGGGTCTGGGAGAGGGAACACAAAGATGAATAAAAGCATCATGGCCTCATGATGCTTATAAACTCATGGGGGAGCCAAGGTGCTACAGGGATTCTAGAATACAAGGTGGGCTGTAATGAGCTCACATAAAGCTACAAACTAGAGTAGCACTTCAGAATAGAGTGGTTAAATGGAAGCACCAAAGGAGGTGTTTTGATTTCCATTTTGTTTCATTTTAGAATAGGGAATACACGAAAATCATTGTAAGCAGAAGGGAAGGAGTCAGTGTGGAGAGGTGATAAGGAGGGAATTAATCAGGTAACCCTGGTGTATGCCTAAAGAGAGCCCAGTGGGAGAAGTTGGTCATGAGAAAGAGGAAGGATATTATTCAAAATATATAAAAGAAGGAAGAGGGCCTGAGTGGTGAGGCATAAACACTCTGAGATGAAGGAAACAGAAACCAAAGGAACCCACTTGTAACATCTTTGACTGTCTCAGTCTAGTGCAGGGGTTGGCAAACTTTTGAGACAGAAGAGCCAATCCTGTCCCTCACAACAATTTAAAAATTATTCGAGAGCCGTAAATATATTTTTACAAATAAGGAAAATTTAAGGTAATATTATTAACAAGTAATAGTATTAATTATATCTTTACTAAAATAAGAAAAATGCACACATGTACATACCCAAAGAGCTACATGTGGCTCATGAGCTGCAGTTTGCCGCCCCCTGGTCTAGTGAGATGCAACATTATTGCTAGAGAATGAAAGAGTAGTGATAGACTTGGGAGCTGTGGGAAGATTTGAAATTGCCACTGTGAAGAATATAAGTCAACCAGGAATGATTCAGAGGGTTGTGGAGCAACACTGAGGTCATTGCTGAGTCTGAGTATCATGAAGTTTTAATGAAACTAATAAACTTTTTCATTACTTTCTCTAGCAGTATTTGCAGGTAGGCACGGGGGCATAGAAATTCAGGTTGGCTATAATTCATGTCTTGCAGAAATCAAATGATTCTTATATTGAAAGCTGCATATGAAAATATATTAGAAATTAATTGCAAATAATTGCATCATTTCAGATTTTAATTTGTCAATTTCTTTTTTCCCCTTAATTTTTAGAGTCAAATCAGATTTTTATATTTCCATAAAGAAGTGGGAACAATATCCTGTGCTTCAAATGTTAACCAACAAAGTAATGCTGTTAGAATCTCTGAAGTTTCTAGCTCATAGTTGCTTCTCATACATTATGTATTTTTAGGCTGGAAAAACTAATAACATCCTTTTTGGAAGACCAGGATCCAGAGAGTAGACTAGAGGTTGGCGCCGATATGCGTAAAATTCATCACTGTTTCCATCATTTAAAGGTAAATTTAAGCATTTCCTCTAGTAGAAGCCATCGTCTGCTATGTTCAAGCTGCAATAAAGCTTTCTTAGTTGACTAGATCTTGAAAGGTTAGGGCCCAGCTCCACTCGTCTAGAACGGTATGATCTTTGAACCAAGGCTGTGATTGTGGCTACATTTCTTCAGAGCTTATACCTTACTTGCCAATGAATAAGATCAGACCACGGACTTCTAATTCTTTTGCCAGGAATCTCTACCTTCTACGCAGAATAGTTCTATGTTAAAAAATCATTTATTTTCAAACTATATCAAGAGAATTGTGTCCTCAACTTTTTTTCCCAGCAGTTTTGATTTATTCATATAAATCCTCAGTTTTTCTCTGCCTTAGGTTTTACCTTTGATGGTGATGCAGTGCAATTATCATTAACCTTTACTTCTACCTCACTTATAATTTGGCATACTTCTTTAAGATAAGAAACATTTGTTGTTGAGTCTGCAGTGGGCCAGGCATAGGGAAGGCAAAGTTGAACAAGTAAGTCATGGACAAGACAGATACATAAAGAATAATTACAATACATGGTAAGTGCCATTTTAAAAAGTGGTGTGGAGTTATGGAGCAAGGGATAGAAGTTCAAGAGGAAATAATGTTTGAGCAGGAATTTCCCAGTTTAGGGAAGAAGAGGTCGGATAGCAGAGAGGGAAGTGAGGAAGGAGGATGGAGGGAGGGCAGGTAGGAAGAGAAAACATACCAAGCACAGGCAAGTGCATTGCAAAGACAAGGAGGTAGGAAAAGACATGCATGTCTGATATGTGCAAGGAATTGTTAAAGGTGGAAAGAGTCAAAGCAACAAAGAGATTTGGAATCAAGGTACGGACACTAAGCTTGTACTTCATCTTACAGAAACTATTGAATGACAAGAAGACCCATGAAAAGAGCACAGTGTCTTCCACAATCAAAGATCAAGTCTGCCAAGAACCATTAAAAGAGGAAGAATATAAAAAGCTACGAGATATTCTACAGCAGAGAGACAATGAAATCAGTATCCTTTCCAAGGCAATAAGAAACTCTCCCTCTGTTGGCTTAAAAGGGGAGTGGGAACATGAGGTCTCCCCCTCGCCACATCACCTAGCTCCCAGCCTGCTGTCAGTTCACATCGTTTCTTTCCATTTCAAAGTAAAATGTCCCTTCAGCAAACAAAATGGAGCAACTAATGAAAACCAGAGTTGCTAGAAAAGAAAAAAATTGACTTCGTTTTTAGCCAGATAGAGTTACTATTGCAGGGAAAAATTCAGTTTATTGAAAAGTATGGGCCTTTTTATCCCATCTCTTAACTTAAAATTTTTTTTGTTACTACTCTGCGGTGCTCTTTCTGTTTTAGTCCTGAGCCAGGAGCCAGTAAGTTAACTGGTTATCTTTAGCTAGCTGACCGGACACCAGGCTGACCACAGCCTCACCATGGCCCAGAATTTGTGGCTGGCGTGTGGGTGAAACTCAAATGATGGCTGAAAAATGACAAATGGTATTTAGCTTATGAAGATCAGAGATTGATTTAAATGTAACTTTTTATTTAAAAGCCAGATCTACTGCTTTGGGTTCCACTTACAAATGTTCCCAAATTTGGAAGTGAGTACGGATGAGTGTTCAAGATAGAACTCTCATGGGCTTTGGGAGGTCGTGTATTTCGGGAGCTGAGTAGCAGCCCATGGGAGTTGCCTCCAAGGACAGGCTAGGTGGCGACTTCTAAAGAGCCCCTGTCGGGTGAGTTAGACCTCAGGTCTCCCCAACATTTCCTCAGGATTGTTTCTTATTTTATCTTTCAAGCTTCTTGTAAAAGATTTGACATTTTCATGACATTTGCAGCCTTTTTTTTTTTTATGTCAGGCACAAGAAATTAGTTAGGAACAGATATTTTTATTCATTTTTGAAAAATTACTAAAAGGCATTTTAGCTGCAGATAGTGTGCAAAATGGATAAAAATAACCAACACAAGGAAATCCAGCACTAAAGAGGTAAAAACAAACAAATATGAGGTAGGCACACTGCCTGATTAACTTCAGTCTTTAATTTTAGTTGAGTATTAGCAGACACTGTATGTCTGATTCAAGGGAGTTTTAGCTGCTTTATGATCTGGCCAGTAACAGTGGGTTCAGCTGTGAACCGCACTCCCACACAAGCCCTTGTCTACGAGTGCTGCCCACATGTGTTGTCACCCTTGCATTCCTTCTCCTCTCTCTTACCCTATCCATCTCCAGGGTGCTCCCGGCCTAGGCCTCAGTCCTGGCTCCAGCCCCAGCCTGAGCTCTGCCTCTTTTCCTGGCCTTGATCCTAATCTAGGATCTTCTCCCCTAAATGCTCCTAGCAACTTCTTAATCCCCTTCTGGGCTTATGAATGTCTGTGCATATAGGAGAGATGAGATGAGATATGACAGAGAGGGAACAGTTTTAGGCTTGTTCATATATGTTTATTTTAAGAAATCGAGTGAGAGAGAGACACACATCTCCCTTCTCCACTGGCAAATCCAGGTACACTGTTCATGTGAGGCTTCACAGGACTCTTTCCTGACTAAATAACTCGAGCAGGGCCTCTTCCTTCTGGGACTCATATTCAAAATGATGGTGTGTAGGCGGTATGGTGAAAAGAACCCTGAACTTGAAGTTCACCCGCAGATTGACACCCTCGCTCTCCATTCATTAGCTGTACAACTATCCAGTGAAGCTGTTTCCTTCTCTTTAGGAAGGGGAGCATAAGACCTGCCCCGCCACCATCACAGCGCTGAGCAAAACCAGTAGGATAATTTAGTGGAGAGTGCTGTGAGCTCTCTAGAGTGTTATAAAGGGAAGATGTGCCTCTGTAGACACTGGGTAAACTCAGAAGAAGGAAACATACCAGCTAAGATTTACTCCTCACCAAGTTTACCCTTCTCAAGGGCTAATGACCAAGAAGGGTTCCTGAAATTTTGGTTTTTCAAAGTCGGGCTGGAGGATATTTTCATATCATTTTTTTCTGGAGCCATGAAGGCCAAAACTATGACAGGAAGAATAAGAAAGACATGACTTAAAGGGAAAAAAAAGTGATAATACTTGCGCTCAAGAAAAAGAGTAATGCAGCCAAAATGACAGTGAACTACACTGAATGTTCTTCTTGCAAAGAGAGTGAAGATGATGTCCTTTTTGTGACATTATCAGTTTGAATAAAGTTCAGACACCCTTCAGAAAACATACAACGGGGTGTCATTTAGTATGCCCACATAGAGCTTGACACAAAAGAAGGCCCAAGTTAAACAGCATGGGAAGGGGAAGAAGACATGAGAAGACGGAAGGCAGCAAAGGAGATACATTTGTATTGTGATCTTGATGAAATGTACATTGGAACATGCTGTTTCTCTGATTAAAGTATTCCAGGGGCTTCCCATTCTACTCACAATAAAATTCAGACTCCTTGCTCCTGAGGATGAGGCCTCGTGTAATGGTGCCCCTGCCTAGCCCTCTGACTTCCTTTCTTACACCTCTGTCCTGCGTGTGTTAGGCTTCGTTCACAGTGACCTTTTTGTTGTTCTTCTGTCACAGGGTTTTTCCAGCCTCAGCACTACTGACATTTGGGGCTTTAGAATCATTGGTCGGGGGGGGGGGCTCTCCTGTGCATGGTAGGATGCTTAGCAGCATCTCTGGCCTCTACCCACTAGATTTCTGTAACAGCACCTACCCCCCACTCCAGTATGACAACCAAAAATGTCTCCAGACATGGCCAAATGCCCCCTGGGTGGTAACATAGCCTCTGTTTGGGAACCACTGCCAAGCCCATTTCTCCTCAGGGTGTTGGCACTAGCCGTTTCCTCTGCTTAGATATACTCTTTCTCTGGCTGGTTCTTGTCATTCAGATCTCAGCTTAAATTCACTCTCTCAAAGGGTAGCAGCCAGTGCAGAGTAGCTGCTCGGTCAATCCTGACCTGTTTTAAAATAAGCTACCTAGCACTTTCTCTCGTGTGTGTGTGTGTGTGAGTGTGTGTGTGTGTGTGTGTGTGTGTGTGTGTGTGTAACCTGTCTTTCCCCAGTAGGACATCTACTTCATGAGAGTCTGCCATTTTATTGTGCTTGCCCTGTGCCTGGCATAGTGCCTGGCACATAGTACAAGCTTCAGTAAATGTCGTTGAATGGGTTAAAGAAAGGACGTTGTCACTGCACTATGTGAACCAGTTGAAGTACCCAATACTATTGAAATCCGGTACAAACAGGAGTGGAAGATCTAGGCAGAGCTTTGTTCTTCTCTGTCAGGTCAATGCTTAGACACTACAGAAATTGTGAGCACCTTTGGTGGGTACAAGCTTTCTTGAGGCGAAGAACAGAAGCCACATTGGGATTGTAAGAGAAAAACTGATTATCCTTCCAGAAATCAGAAGGTTGGAGTCAAAGCTGAGAAGGACAATGGAGGTCAAATGATTTCCCTGTGACTTGTCCAAGAATAAGCATAATTGGATGCCTCCCCTCTTTTCTGAGCATCAGTCTTCTCATATTTCTTCAAACTCTAAGGTTAATGAAGCCATCTCTAAGGATGGTGAAGGCCTTGAATTCGTTTTACTGCACATGCAGTTAGAGTTCCGACATTCTCAAGAGGGATTATAGTCTTTCCTTTTAGTGATAGCCAAAGCCCCTTAGAATTCCAGGCAACCTGAACCCAAAAGAACAGTGAAGTAGGGTAGAATGGAATGATTTTATCCCTTATCATCAGTGCTTCTCATACCCCTAAATAGCCTGCAAAAGGTGCATTTTAAATGATAAATCGATGCTAATAACTTACCTCCTTTCAGTTCCATTTGGGACCAAATATTAGGTACCATATTTTGCCATGTTTAATGTGCTCCCATGTATAATGCACACCCACGTTTTTGGCCCAAACTTTCAGGGAAAAAAATCTTTTGTTTTAATTTTTTAATTCAAGTTTCTATTTGTTTATATTTAGGAACTTATTTTTTGTATTATAAAGGAATTTTTGCATTTATTTATTTATTTATTATTACACTTTTAACTCATAAGCATAAATAAAAGAATTTAAAACATTTATATAGACACAGAATTAGTGCTACCCATGTGTAATGTGCATCCTTAGTTTTCCCTCACAGATTTGGGCAAAAAAGTGTGCATTATCCATGACAAAATACAGTACTTTTTAAAAAGTTATTTTAAAGCCCCATTTGATGTACTCTAACTAAGCATGTGTTCGTGGGGGGTGCTCTGGTGACCAGGATTGATTTCGCTGATGCACCAGCTGGGCAGCTTCTGGCATTCTCTCTCCCCACTCCTCCTGAGCAGCTTCCTGGATGAAACTCTTGTCTACTCATTGACATATGCGTAGCTCCATTGCCTGCTGCCACTCAGTGTTCATTTTACTTTTTATAAATCTTTCCCCAAAAATGTAAGGCTTAATTGGTTTCCACTGGGAACATTTGAAAGACCTTTGGGTTGGCTATCTTTTCCTGTAATGGCACCAATACTGAAAGACCAGTGGCCTCCTAAACTGCCCATAACTCTGTCTGTTACTTCAGGAAATTGAAGACTTCCTTTAGTCAGCCTTTACCATGTGACAAATAGTAAATATTGTTGGGAATAGTAATCCCATTTAAAACATTCGTGTTTTGATCATTCTAATCAAGCACGAGTCACTAAATCCTTAAGTCAATTCTCAGATATTCTGGTCAATATGTTAAAGAAGGAAAAGAAGAAAGCGCAAGATGCTCTCCACTTTTCTAGCGTGGATAGAAATGACGGCAGACACGCACAGAGCTCAGCTCTCCCACCTGGGAACCCAGAAGGTCCGAGGACGTCGTCCTCAGCCTCCACACCGGTCCACAACTCCAGCACTTTTGGGTACAGATCCACTTTGCTCCAGAGAAAAACAGGTCAGTGATACTCATTTATAAATAGAAGTTACATAACCTTAAGTAGAAAACAAAGACTATCGTAAATTGCATTATTTATGTAAAAAGTAAAAATAGTAATCCATTATAATTTTATCATTCAATTCACCACTGTCACTCTTATCATTTTTATTATTATATTTCTTGAGGTTGTATAGTTGTAGCAGCAGTAGGTGCTGCTGTAGCAACAATAACAAAAAATTCCAAGTGAAGTTTATCCATCCTTAAAAAATAAAAATAATCCCAGTATTCCTCATTCTCCATAATAGAATTCAGTATAGCATCTTTTAGTTTTAAAGGTGCAAGTATGAAGACTCTGTCAATTTATTTGTTAGGATTTTTTATAACTATCAAATCTATTTAATTAAATACCAGTTTCCAAAATTGATGGCTGACCAGAAAAAAACAAAGTCTGAATTGTCACAGAGCTCAGAGGCAGAAATAGATAAGTCCAGGGCAACAGTAGAAGAGTTGACTTGAGAAAAAAACAAAAACTTTCCTCTGATATAGGAAAGAGAGAATAAGAACAGATGTTGTATTACTGATGTGTTGACACTGTTTATTCTAAATTCAAGTGAGCTACCTGCAGCAAAATAACTTAAAACTACTGCCACAGTCTGCCTTAAAGGACAGTAAATGAATAAAATTTTGTCAGATAATTTCACAGGGCTGCACCAACTCGGAGGCTCCACCCTCATTTGTAGCTTTTAATAAATGTGTCAGTTCTTCAACTACAGAACCACACCAGAAGCCCAGGTTGGTTTGGGGACCTTTCTCTTTCTGTTAGACCAGCAGCACGTGATGTATACCGTAATGTATACATTGAGGAATCTGGAGTATGGAATGTACTAGAACAAAGGGGTGGAAAGCTTCTCTTTTTGGGCAACATAGGTTGAAATTTGCTGTATAAATGTTTGTTGGGATGGGCAACCTGAGATGCACGGTTTTCTAAAGGATTTCGCTTGGGAATAATTAGAGTATGGTATTGATCAAGAAAGACACTTTTTAGTTAATAAGAGCAACATTGAGAAGCCTGGAAATATATTTTGTGATATTATATCCCTTCATCTCTTTTTTAAAATTAAATTTATTGGGGTAACATTGGTTCATAACATTATATAATTTTCAGGTATGCAAGATTATAATTCGACTTCTCTATACTCTATTGCATTTTCCCCACCAGAAGTCTAGTTTCCTTCTGTTACCATATATTTGACCCCCTTTATCTCTTAATTCCAAATCTTCTTGTGTTGAATATTTTTTAGTAACACAGTAGGATAAATTCAAAATCACAGGAAACCAAAAATGCGATTTTTAGCATTTATTGTGGTGGCCGTAGACAGGGAAAAGCAATTATTTCTCTCGGTGATTGTTTTCTATACGGTATTCCGGTACTCTATTATAGATAATAGCTGGTTGGGGAAAAAAAGAGGCCCTCCTGATTGGTGGGTTCATTAGTTCATCCGTCAATTTATTTATCCCTTTGCTCATTCAACATATATTTACTGAGTACACACTTTGTTCTAGGTACTGTGCTAATTATTATTATTTCAGCTAAAGCTTCCATAGCCCTTCTATATTTCAGGTACTATTCAAAGTTCTCTGCTTGAATTAGCTCACGAATCCTTATCCTATAAGTTCTTGTTTTACCCCATATTAAGATGAGGACATACGTGGACAAACACAATCTCTAACCTCAGAGTCCTCACACACTGACAGGAAAGAGAGCCTTGAACAATTAATTACAAGGTACACCTGTGTATTACTCAGGGAGCATATACCAGGGGACCGTACCTCAAGTTTAGACCAGAAAGATCCAGAAGGGGGAATGGGGGTGGCAGTGCGGCTGGAAGGAATATTGCAAGCGGAAGGAATTGCTTGAAGAGCTTTCAGGGCCTTTGTGGTGGAAAGGAGCATCGGGGGATGTGAAGCCTCCGGGATGGTTGGGATTCAGGGAGTGAGAGCCTGGGAAGACAGCCTGGGAAGTAGTACGTACAGAGCAGTTTGGCAGAGGACTCGGTTCGCATGAACAGTTAGAAGGCTATTGTAGGATAGCCGTCCAGGCCAAAGGCTGGGGATGTTGGGAGAGAGGTGGGGGGATGAGAAGCCTGGGTGGGGGGTGGTAACATGAACAGGGCGTCCGTGGTGACTACAGAACGTGGGGGGTAGGGGTGAGAATTGGCCTCCAGGTCTCTGGGTGGCTGGTCTCTTCATGGATGGAAGGAGTGGTGCCTCGATTGGCCCTACAATGGGCATTGTTGGCTACAGCGATCAGAACATTGGCTGCTCTGCTGAAATGAAAGGCAACGATCAGTACCCACGTTAGAACCCAGGCTCGCGATGGAACATACTCTGTGCCCTGGCCTTTTCCAAAGGTGCACACTATATGCCCATGCAGAAAGGGCCTCAGACATCACTGCCCAACCCTTGCTGTGGGCCAGACCTTTTCTATTTCTATTTTCTCTTGCCCACACACTCTCTCTTCTCATAATTCTCCTTCCCCACAGCAGCTCATAATCTATCTCCTAACTCATAATTATAGTCAACGTTCAGTAACTCTTTTTCTCCCTTGATACTGCTATTGAGACAGACTATAGTTCTGTCTGGAGAATGAATTAAGTTTACTTGAATAGAAAAATCACTGAAAAAATAATGGAAATTGTTTGTCAAGTCCAAGTACAAATGAGGTAAAAGAGTTTTGGAGAGAAGCCTCGCAGTTGAAAGGGTTTTCGAGTTGTTTTAACTGTCATTGGATATAGTTGTAGCAATAATTTTAAATAGAAGTAGGCTCACAAATGGATTGATAATGATCTAAGCATTTGGAGGAGGGATTAATGGGGGCTTGATTTTATTTTCTGGCAAAACTACAGACAGGATGAAAATTGCTGTGGATGAATCGATGCTGCAAAGCAACAGGTAATGGGATAGTTTGTTACAATGTTTAAGATCCTAGCGGATGATTAAGCTTTTATTATCACATTATTTTATATACAAGAAGCTTGTGTACTCCAAACCAAATACAGAAAATTAATAAGCATGTTGTTTAAAAGTATTTCCGCCTGATGTAGTAGTCAATTTCTGTTAACCGTCCCTGGGGCTGTTTTTAACGCAGAAAGCAAGTCAGTGTGAGTGTCTTTTTCTCTGAGAAACTGTCACCATTTTCATGGTCCTCCCCTTTCTTCCATTTACCCCCACTTGATACTGAAAATGACTTCCAGTTCCTCCTGTTGAAAGAAAATGAAACTGAATTCATGGTTCACTAGCGAGTCCCTCCAAGTCGTTGTGCAATCAGCCTGCCAAGGCCAAGGACGGTTAGGGGCTTTGGGGCTTTTTTGTTGTTGTTTTGGAGGTTAAATGTCTGTTTGGGTTTCATAGAAATAATGGAAGGGATTGTTTGACTCCACAGTTTAAAAGAGTCATATTGTTCTCTTTAAAATAACAGTTTTATCATCTGTTTGTTCTTTTGTTTCTGGAGTTGTTGTTTTTTAGTTTTGTTGTTGTTTTTCTTTTGTTTTGTTTTTGTTTGTCTAGGGTTTTTTTCCCCCTGTTTCAGCTCCCTGTCAGTTCCAAATAGCCACCTGGAGCCAGTCAGTATTCCAAAAACCCCTAATGACTCACCACATCCTTTAACTGTTTGAGAAGCTAACAGAACCCACTCATCACAGGTGATGTCATTGGCATTTGAAAATGTGAATTGAAAGCCACAATGCCAGGCCATTTTCTCTTACTCTGTGCGAGTTCGTTAAATCCCCACTACCTGCCTGGAAGGTCTAAGGGCACATGTTGTAGGGGGCCCCAGGGTGAACTGAGAAATGGTCTCTGGCTCTGGGAGCTTACATTTAGGTAGAGGGGGCTGGTTTGGTACCCAAAGAGGAGAAAAAAAAAAAGAAGTGGTGTAAGTGGAAGCTGGGAGAAATGCTATGGGAATTCAAAGGATAAGGGAAGACTTTTAATAAGTACATTGGGAAACGCATTACAAGAGCAAGTGACATGGACGGTAGGTCTCAAAGGATTGGCAGAATTTGGAAATTCAAAGATTGAGGAAAGAACATTCTAAATATTCCAGGTGTAAAGAATATTATGAGCAAAGACTTAGGAACAGGAAAGCAAGGAAAAATATGTAGAGTTGGCAGGGATATTTGTTTAGCTGGAGCCTTGAAGATATACAGGAAGTGAAAAGAAATAAGGCTACAAACATAAGTGGGAAATTGTTAGGATGGTTGCTTGAGGGAAAGGGAGTAGAGGAATAGATGGGAACTTCCCCTTCTAAGTTTCTATGCTTTCCTAGTGTCCTAATTTCTTACATTTCTTTGTTAAACAAGTAGGGCCACATTATGAAAACCCTCAAATGCCAAGCCAGGGGATTTTTGTTTGGTTCCAAGGGAACCACCAATGCAGAGAGCACACGGTGATCGTTGCACTCTGAGGAGGTTTCTCTGGAAGAAATCTTTCGGGTATGTTGGAGACGGGGCCCCTGGAGACTTGAGTAAGTGGCTTAGGAAATATCGTAATACTCCGAGTTGGGATGATGGAAACAGAGACAAGGCGAGGAACATGGAGAACCATTGTGGAGGGAGACCACAGCAGGTCTTCATGGCGTAAAGGACAGCTGTGTTTCTTCTCCTTCTTCCCGGCTGTCTAAGTTCTCCTGGCCCTGAGGATGCAGCTACACGCACAGCCGAGGACAGGGCAGCTGGTGCTTCTCTGAGATGCTGCTTCAAACATCAAGTCACTTCTTTGAGTCTGCCTTACTCTTATTCAAAGGATTGCTCTCTGGACCAAAGCTACTGTTATAAAGGTTTAACATACCCAATCCTCCACTAAGTTGAAAAGAAAAGCTCAAAGAGAAGTCCATGGAGGCAAAATCCCCCCATAAACCAACCAGAGAAAAAGAACAGAGATTAGATTTTTCTAAGACCCTTTACAGCTTGCTTTGTTGTCAGCCTCAGGCACAGATGCCCACCTCTTCCATTTCAAATCTC